ATACGAGCCGGTGTTAGCCGCAATTCATACTTTGCCTTAAATGATCTTCAACTGCGCCAAATATCATACATGTCATGAAAATCAACTTCACAATGAAGTTCGAGCTAATTTATTAACAAATTATTAATTTGATGATTTTATACTAAATAGATAATAATAGACCAAACACAAATTTATTTGCCTTTACCTCACAAACAGATTCTTTAACAGAGACTTCGTTAAAGTTATTAAACGATTTTAATCACTTCAAAATTACTAAAATGTTTATATTCGTAGTAATTGATATTTTTACTTGAACGGTGCTATATCGGTCTTCGACCTATATTTTAACGCCCCGTTCAATAATAATATTATTATCATACTGTCTATTAGGATTAGTGCGCGTGTACCAATATTATTAATTCAGTACATTAAATTCTGCATAATCCTAATAGACTGTGTAATAATATGTGTTTATAATTCTGGCAAAAATTATGTTTAAATTTTAAATTTTAGGTAAAATTATAATTCGTAAAATAAAAATCTTTTTATATATTTTTGTTATAATGTAACAATTTCAAAAATTTTCTCACGTACAATATATATCGCAAATTTTAAACTAATAAACATTTTAATCTTCAACACAGGAACATAGTAACGCACGCACTAAATTTTTATTTTATAAGAACTACTGACAATTAAGAAGGTTGAACACAGTGACAATGCCGACAATTATCGAAAGGTAATCTAGGACTACGCTCCCTTCCTTTTTTTTTTATAATTTCTTTTTTCTTTTTTTAAAAAAAAAATTAAAAATATATATATATATAAATAAATGGGCTATAGTTAAAGTGATACATCTGCTGGTCAGTGAATTCACTCCCTGAACTTAAGGACCAAATATAGAAAGAAGTATCCTCTCGTTTCGTACTATTGACAAAGCAGGTAGAAAATATGAGCTCGCTTGTCCTATGTCGAAGTGCTTCTGCTAGTTTACTTTTAGATAGTTTCTCTTTTGTTTCTACTTCTATATGTATTTCCATACTTCTATTTTAATGTATCTAATGATATTAGATACAGCTAACGAAAGGCGTAGGCTCTTTTAGGACTATTCCCTTGTTAATAATTTAAAAGGTAAACACAGCGACAATACTGATACTTATTAAAAGGTAGTCTAAGACTCATCTGCTGGTCGGTGAATTCCACTTCCTGAACTTAAGGACAAAAATATAAAAAGAAATATCCTATCGTTTCATATTATTAGCAAAGTAAGCAGAAAATATGGATTCACTTGCCCTATGTCCAATTTGCGTCAAAGTGCCAATAAAAATTATGTTCGCTTTCTTTTTAATTTTTAATTATTCATGGAGATCCTAATTGGCGCAGTCATTTAGTAATTATCACTAACTTCGTCTAACTCTGCCATATAATGGCTTGTTATAAAATGCTTATTCTGCAAGCCTCTCGACCCTTCCTATTTATTTAATACGTACCATGGACAGACTTGTTAAGTGATCACTCCAACGATGCGATTCGGCCAAGCAATTCCTGTTTATGGCTCGAAGTGACAGTTGACATAGGCGGTTCGACTATAACATGTATGTTCCTCTTAGGCAGTTTTCGAACCGGTACTCTTCTATCACACGAATCTGCCTATAAAGTAAAATTAATGTATGAAAAATTTACCTCTTTATAGTTAATATTTTTTCTCGTGTCGTGTCTATAAATTGGAATTGTTTCTACCAAAAATCAAATTAAAAGTCGAACTTTAGTGACAATGTATTTGTGAAAAAAAACTAGGATGTAAATTAAATCATTCACAACATATAGTATTGTGTTTTGAGGAAAGAAGTTCATAAAACGGAATAACCTATAAAGTAAAATAATAAAAATATTTAAAAACAAAAAAAAATCGCTGCTATCAAAAAGCCAAAAATTAAAAAAAAATATTATAATATTAAAATTACCTGCTTTTGATGAATATGAAGCTGAATTATATATCTAAATGACTTTTTAAATAAATAATAATTTGTTTCTTAAAAATTAATTATTTTTTTTTTTTTGTAAATAAAATTTTGGTGATGTCCGCGTTCTAAAAATAAAAAATCGATTAGAATCGATGAATTGAAATCTTTAAATCTTGAGAAATGATTATTAGCTATTTATCGATTCTACTTTTTTGAATCGAATCCAGTCCTAATTGGTTGTAGACATGTAATTATATAATATTATAATAATCAAAAATGGATTTGTAAATTAAGATGTTATTTTGAATTTATTAAGATTTTCAATGCTAAACATCATTGTAATCGCTTCTTCAATAATTACGACTACTAGATACCTGTAAGAAATTGAACAATATAAATAATAAATTTGAATGTAATAAGAATGCTGAAACAACTGGATTGTATGGTTGAAGTGCCAAACAGAGTTAAGTGTTGTTTACAAAATAAAATATAATTATCTAGCTAAAATAAAAACTATATCCCAAAAAATATAATGCTTACCATCCACTATCAAATCCTAAAGTTGGCACATTTTTAAAAGTAAAATTATATAATGGAAAAATACCAGAAGAATAATATATTATGCAAATCGTGATTCGTTTTTATTCAAATCATTTTTTTCACAGAGTTTCAATAATTGTACGCAATAATTGAAAATATTATATTCTAAAATTAACTTTCATTACAAATATACCATAACGAGACCAAGAAATATCGGATCACCCATTGCTCAATTACAATTAGATTTTTCACCGTTGAAGCGCTAAAGATCGTAAATTGAAAAGGAGATAACTGGTCTTCGCATAAAATATTTAGAAAAAATGAAATCACAAAGCACTCTCATCTTATTGAAGTAAAGAAAATTTTTAGTATGAAGTGTTATAAAATTAACCAATGAAACAAATGAAAATAGTAACTTCTAACAATAAAAAAGCTTACAAGAAAGAAATTCTATGATCTTTATTTTGAAATAGACCTTATAGAAAACTCATACAAACGATGTCCATCATCTTCATCAGCACTTAAGCCAAATTGTTCTTGACCTGTACAAAGTGGACTCGCTGGATTTGTTGCTCAGATTATCAAAGGATTGCAACTGGTACACCCGGAATATCCACTTTTTATAAATGAACCACAGGAGCTTTATAGTAATAAAATTATTTTCATATTCTAGTATTTACAATAAATTCATTTCTGTTAAAGTATTTAATGTTATCTTACCAAAGTCTTTCAAACGGAATAGAAATCGATTATCAGCATATTTCTATTATTATGCAATAAATTTTATAAACACTCTAATTTTTTTTACTTTACTCTTTCTTATAAAATAAAAGATTTTTCTTTAAAACTTCATGATTTTTTCCATCTAGAAAATAAACTTTGAATAATTTATTTTAGAAATCAATAAATAATTAGTAGAACAGTAAACACACACATTACGCGTCTTTGATTTTAATATAATACTCTTCCCACAAAAATTTTAACTTCTCAACTTTCCACCTCACAAAAAATCTTAACCTCAACTTTTATCCTTTACCATGTCGGATATGCTTCCTATTTTGAACAAGACTCTTCAAAATGGTCCTTAATGGACTTTGACAGCTGATGCCTTCAAAAATGAACGATAGTCATTTTAACAAAATTCATAGAATATTTTATAAAAATATTAACGATATTTTGTTAAAATGTTCAACAACCGAAAAAGAAAGAAGTCAAGCTCGTAATAAAAAAAAGTAATTAACTTTAAAGGAAAATTAACATACCAAAGGCGAAGAAATAAGTTATTTTGCACTTTGCTAACCATATTAGTGGGGTTGAAATAAGTAAAAACCTATTATAGCTCTGTTTCTTGCTAACAGCCTTAGCAAGGTTGAAATAAATAAGAGCTTGTCACGGTTTTGCACTTCACTAATAGTCTTAGCGAGTTGAAATAAGTAAAAAGAAACACATTTCTAGCTGTTAATACAAAGAAAAGAGGAGTTGGGCTTGTAAATTTTCCATTTCTTTAAGGTTATTCTTTTGTGTTGTAGTTGCAAAACATCGAAATAAAACTACAAGGCTTATATCTCTAATATACCATCATTGTTCCAATATCTCAATACTTCTTTAACTTTGTCAAACTATAAAGCAGCTAGTCCTCTTAATATCCGGTGACAATGCTACCTTTTATAGGATTTGTCCAATGGTTAGCTGTTGTTGCTGTTTGAAATGTTTAAGCCATTCTTCTAGGTAATTGTACTGGCCTTGAGTTTCTTAATTCTTGTGCGAATGTATTGAATGAGAATCACATTTGCTGATATTTATCCAATATACAATGTTTCGTTTGCTCTTTGATTTTCTCTTTGTTTTCTCTTTGCTTACTTCCTTGTTTTTCTAATTCTCCAAAGGTTTCTTCTTCTTCCTCTAGAGGTGTCATGTTATCTATTGGCGTTAGAATCGGATTTACTTTCAAAGGTACAATTATATGAAATGGGCTTTCACTGGACTTTTAAAGTTATTAGAAATTTGAACTGATTCAATTATCCTAATTTGGTGTGTTCAAAATTTGATCCAAGGATGAGGGTAAATAAAGGTTAAGCTATATTAATTTTTTAATGTCGAACCGTAATTGATTGATAATATCTAAAGAATGAGCTTTTCCGTTATTTGTTCAAAAAGAAGTATTGTTTTTCCAGTATAAATTATAGCTCTGAACTCTGCACTAATCCAATCTAAAATATTTAAAGATTATAAGTGTTTGCTTCGGTATTAGGTGATAAATTAAACAGGTATAGTCAATTGATAGATTTTCTTGCTTTCTGCTATGTTGTTCGATGCGGTCTTCTTGAACTTATAGTAAAGTACCAAATTCATTCACAATTTATAATTTTATCTCCGAATCACTTTCGATTATGGTTTTCGCCTGGCAGGAATCACCAATTTTGTCAAACAGGTTTCGGTACAAAATTAGGATAACACCAGTCTGAACTCTGGTTCTGGGTCAGGCTCAAGCCAGCAAATTTTATCTTACTTAATGAGGCTTAGGTGCGACTCAACAATCCATCATCATTAGAACATTAATTTAATGGGAAAAATAAAATATAATAAGGTTACGGCCCAAATAATTCGAACTGAAAAGTGAAAAAAAAAATAAAACTAAAACACAAGTACTTACTTCTGAAAATAAACTTATGATAAAATAAAATAAACTAACCTATGCAACGCGAAAAAATATTACTTCTATTTCTTTTTTTAATTGAAACGATAAAATCTGAAAGAAATTGCCTAATAAAAAGAATAAATGATTTAATGAAAAAAAAGAAACCTTTATCATTCTAAATAATGAATTAATAGATTAGGTGAAAATTTCATCATGAATATGAAGTATAAGCTATAAGAACTAAGTCTTGAAACAAACCAAAAATTAATTAGTTGGTCAGTTCAATCAGCGCAAAAAAAAAAAGGAAAATAAACTTTACATATAAGGAAGGTGGTACAAGCTTTTCAGAAATCCTAATAAGAAAAATGTCAGTAAATATTACTAGCGATTAACTGCTTTTATACATTTTTTATTGAGAAATGTAAAATTTACAAATGCTCCAAAATAAAATTCCAAGAGTTGTTAACATTTTCATTCTAATATTGAATTGATCATATCGAATCGTAAATATAAACCAGAAGTCAATCTGTGATATACACTCCCCTGAAGAAAATATCCGGGCACTCAAAAAAAAAATTTATTTTTATTAAAATATTTTCATATTTA